ACACACACTCGTTTACCTGTGGACAGGAGGAAGTTCCCGACCCACACTTCTGGAGCCACAACCGTCACACTCTCCACCGCCATCTCACTGCACACACACACACACACACACACACACACACACACACACAGCCGTGCAGGGCTCAGTGAGAGTGGAGATCTGCTGTGTAAAGCCTGATTTATACTTCTGCATCAAGTGACCAGACTCGTCAGCGCTACCAAGCCGACCAATCACAGAGCTTGCGCTACGCATCGATGTGACGTGTAGTTAAATTTTTTGAGAGGTGCACATCAGTGCCGTAGCATACGCTGGCGTTTGACGCAGACGTATAAATCAGCCTTAACGGAGCTGAAGCAGAGCTGCTCTCATATGATCGTCTCTCAGTTCTAGAAGCGCTCTAGCGGCAGCGTCTGAACAGCTGGAGTTAGAGCATTAGCACACACACACACACACACACACACACACACACACACACACACACACACACACACACACATAATAACACATTACAGTAGTGTGATGCTGCGTCACACCAGATGCAGATGAAGCGCCGAGCGCCAGTCATTTACGTGTTAAGTGAATGCAAAGACACGAACAGACGTCCTGCGGCGCGATGCATCCCACTGAGACGAGCGGACGCCGTGATTTGTGCAAATGATGCGGTGCGCGTGTATCAGGCGGTGCGAATGTCACAGTGCGAACGATAGGAGAGGTGCGAATGATGCGGTGTGATTGGCGCGGATGAGGCGGTGTGGATGAGGAGGTGTGGATGAGGAGGTGTGGATGAGGCGGTGTTGATGAGGAGGTGTGGATGAGGAGGTGTGGATGAGGAGGTGTGGATGAGGAGGTGTGGATGAGGCGGTGTTGATGAGGAGGTGTGGATGAGGAGGTGTGGATGAGGAGGTGTGGATGAGGACGTGTGGATGAGGAGGTGTGGATGAGGAGGTGTGGATGAGGCGGTGTGGATGAGGCGGTGTGGATGAGGACGTGTGGATGAGGACGTGTGGATGAGGCGGTGTGGATGAGGAGGTGTGGATGAGGAGGTGTGGATGAGGACATGTGGATGAGGCGGTGTGGATGAGGAGGTGTTGATGAGGACATGTGGATGAGGAGGTGTTGATGAGGAGGTGTGGATGAGGAGGTGTGGATGAGGAGGTGTTGATGAGGACGTGTGGATGAGGCGGTGTGGATGAGGCGGTGTGGATGATGTGATTGGTGTGGATGAGGAGGTGTGGATGAGGACGTGTGGATGAGGCGGTGTGGATGAGGAGGTGTTGATGAGGAGGTGTTGATGAGGAGGTGTGGATGAGGAGGTGTGGATGAGGAGGTGTGGATGAGGAGGTGTGGATGAGGAGGTGTGGATGAGGACGTGTGGATGAGGAGGTGTGGATGAGGAGGTGTGGATGAGGAGGTGTGGATGAGGAGGTGTGGATGAGGCGGTGTGGATGAGGCGGTGTGGATGAGGACGTGTGGATGAGGACGTGTGGATGAGGCGGTGTGGATGAGGAGGTGTGGATGAGGAGGTGTGGATGAGGACATGTGGATGAGGCGGTGTGGATGAGGAGGTGTTGATGAGGACATGTGGATGAGGAGGTGTTGATGAGGAGGTGTGGATGAGGAGGTGTGGATGAGGAGGTGTTGATGAGGACGTGTGGATGAGGCGGTGTGGATGAGGCGGTGTGGATGATGTGATTGGTGTGGATGAGGAGGTGTGGATGAGGACGTGTGGATGAGGCGGTGTGGATGAGGAGGTGTTGATGAGGAGGTGTTGATGAGGAGGTGTGGATGAGGAGGTGTGGATGAGGAGGTGTGGATGAGGAGGTGTGGATGAGGAGGTGTGGATGAGGACGTGTGGATGAGGAGGTGTGGATGAGGAGGTGTGGATGAGGCGGTGTTGATGAGGAGGTGTGGATGAGGAGGTGTGGATGAGGAGGTGTGGATGAGGACGTGTGGATGAGGACGTGTGGATGAGGCGGTGTGGATGAGGAGGTGTTGATGAGGAGGTGTTGATGAGGAGGTGTGGATGAGGAGGTGTGGATGAGGAGGTGTGGATGAGGAGGTGTTGATGAGGAGGTGTGGATGAGGAGGTGTTGATGAGGAGGTGTTGATGAGGAGGTGTGGATGAGGCGGTGTGGATGAGGAGGTGTGGATGAGGAGGTGTGGATGAGGAGGTGTTGATGAGGAGGTGTGGATGAGGCGGTGTGGATGAGGCGGTGTGGATGAGGAGGTGTGGATGAGGCGGTGTGGATGAGGAGGTGTGGATGAGGAGGTGTGGATGAGGAGGTGTGGATAAGGAGGTGTGGATGAGGAGGTGTGGATGATGTGATTGATGTGGATGAGGAGGTGTGGATGAGGAGGTGTGGATGAGGAGGTGTGGATGAGGCGGTGTGGATGAGGAGGTGTGGATGAGGCGGTGTGGATGAGGAGGTGTGGATGAGGAGGTGTGGATGAGGAGGTGTGGATGAGG